TTTTGTTTTCCTTCAGAACTTCGCAAATGAGGTTTTTGGCTCGATACAAACATATAAATCTCAGTTCCGCACTCTCTCCTTTTCTTGGTTCGTGGCTGTAATTGTCCTATTTTAGAGCCATGTCCCGATAGTAGCGTGAGGGGGGCGGGGCTGATTGTTTATTGTTCTTTTTTAATGGGACTATCTGCATTATAAAAAAAATAATCCACACCAAGAGACAGAGGGGAGTAGGCTGCTTGTGTACTGTTCTTTTTCACTCGTCCTATCGGCACTATAAAAAACATACACGACAGCGAGAAACAGAAGGAGTAGAGCACACCAGATCTCCCATGTAGGGCCTCGTCGTAACAAATCAACAAGAAACAAACAAAAAAGGGAATAGGAAATGGGCATATAGAAATATATATATAGATGTATATATATATATATATATATTTATATATATATATATATATATATATATACATATATTTATATATATGGGGCCTACAGAAAGTAAGGCACTGAGATACATTAAGATACTGTAGTTATGAGTAAAAATGATACCTGTATCATCTGTCTGCTTCGTGTACTGTGTTTGTTTGTTTTGTTAGAGCTTAGCCTCATGTACATGCATAGAGAGTCTCTTCAACTTCAACTGGAGTACCATACATCTGTTGCAAATGCTGCGTGCAACAGATCTGCCGTACAAAATTGCATTCAAACGGACATCTTGTATGTTGTAAATAAGAGGTGCTTTTGAAAGTAGCACATGCACTCCAAGTCTAGAGTTTCCTGTTTAGCGGGGCTGGGTAGGCTTCTTACTTTGCTTTGCACTGTAAATATTCTATGCTCCTTCTTGTTCTAGGATTCTTTGTTACATTATACTATTTATCACCCTCACAGAGATCATGCGGATGGGTGTCGAGAGTTCTCTAGTGTGGTCTGCTCCTTTAACTTCTTTCCTCTACGTCTTACTGTTGTCCGAATCTACATGTACTTCCTGGTGCTGAATGACCTTGCGGGCTTGATAATGTCAATGGCGAAAACACTATCACAATCCTAGCCTCCACAACTACTGTCATCAATGGGGGTTACAACATCAAAACCACCACCATGACCGCCCATCGAAAGCACCACACCACCATCAACAACAAACATCAACCGCTACTTTTATCAAGCACAACACTATACGCTCATCAGCCAATAACCCCTAACCACCTTATACTACATGTACGGGGTCTCTCCCCGAGATATGAGTGTAAGTTTTCCTATTCTGTAAAAACAACACTATGGGTGTATTCGCGGGATCCAGAACTGAAAAGACAATTATCAGCAGAATGGAGAAACCCAGGATCACGCTGCTACCCCAGGAGCTCGGCGCAAGCAAGGGGCTTTGAAAATGATGCACATTGTGTTTTTCGACCACAAAGGTCTGATTTTGAACTGGCTGGTACCCGTTTGCACGATATGCAATGTTAACTTTGATTTGTACAGGCATATGACATCTAGTAAAGAAGTTGTCAAGAATCTCGGTGAATATATTGACCACCACTTATCAATGGGCTCGTTTGTAGGATCTCTGTCCAAATCCCTTTATTTTCAGCTGAGAAGGATAGGCCTCGTTCGAAAGTACTTAAACGAAGAGACCACAAAAACACTGGTAACATCTTTTATCCTATCTAGATTAGACTATTGTAACTCACCCCTAGCAGGTCTGAACAACAAATATTTGAATCGTTTACAAGTAATTCAAAACAATGCCGCTAGACTGATAACAAGATCTAAAAAACGAGACCATGTCACTCCATTATTAAAACAACTGCATTGGCTCCCTGTAAAAGAAAGAATAATATTAAAAATCTGCGTCATGTGTTTCAAATGTGTAAATAAAACTGCTCCTTTTTATCTACAAGAACTTATCAGTATATATAAGCCAGGGAGAAACCTAAGATCATCAAACGATAACACCCTACTTGTGACACCTGTAAAATCATACAAATCATATGGGGAGAGATCTTTCTCATATCTTGATCCATTTATGTGGAACAGATTACCAATGAAACAAAGACAAACCTGCCTTGGCACGCGCGCAGGCTCAAGCCACGTCTGTCAAACTCGAGACTCGAGGTCTCGATCTTAAGAGCTATTTTTAGCAGTCTTCAAGACTCGAGGTCTCGATCTTAAGAGCTATCTTTCTGCAGCCTTTCTTCTTTTTCTCCTTGGCTCTTTCTTACTGCTGTTTTTCAACTGCACCCCTGGTCTTCAGGTAGGAAAGATCTATACCTAGCCTTTTCGGGCAAGGGCAAAAAATCTCGGAGGTCCAGTGTGCAAGTTGTAAACGCTAAAAATCCCTTGGTGGTCTATAATCGATATGAGTAGGCTTCGGCCGCCACACGGGTAAAAATTCAAAATGTCCTACCAACTGAAAATGTGTCCCGCGCACTCATATGGCCGTATGCAGTTGTGAGCGCCGTAAAACAATTATAAAAAACAAAAACAAAACAAAAAAAGTAACATTTCACTTC